GAAGGGGAAAGGGACAAGTAAATGACATAAAAGCTTTTAAAATCTATAGGGGAAAAAGGGCGGGATGGGGGTCGTCCCGAAAGGTTGGAGGGGGGGGGTTAAAGGAGGTTTTGTGGGCAAGGGGTTGGACTTCCAGAAAGGTGCATGGCGTGTTAGATAGGAGTGAATGGGGGACAAATGGTATTTGGGGCCTGACGATCTGTTGGAGTGTGAGCAGGGTAATATTTAGTGAAGGATTCAGGGAAACCCGGTTTTTTTTATATAGCGGATTTAGTCCGGAAATGGGAAGTACAATCCTGCATTTTTAAAGGGAGGGGTTTGGGATATTGGCAGTTTCGAGGGATAGTTGTGTTTTTTTTGTGTATGCTTTAGACTGTTTTTTATTCTGAGCACCTCTGCAAAAACGTGATAATGTGCAAGTGTGGTGAAAGTGTTGAATGATGATAAAGTATTTTTTTTTTGGGGGATTTCTTTCTTTTTTTTTTGGGCACCCTGCCTCGTGGGAGACGGCCGACTTGTTAAAAAAAAAATTATTATATATATATGTATTTTTTTTTTTTTTTTATCACACGGGCCCCGTTCCCCCACCAAGGCGGGGGGCCCCAAAAAAGAAAAACTTTCACCATCATTCACTCCATCATGTCTTCCCAGAAGGGTGCTTTACACTACATTTTTTAAACTGCAACTCACCCCCCTCCTTCGAGTGCAGGCACTGTACTTCCATCTCCAGGATCAAGTCCGGCCTCCCCGGTTTTCCCTGAACCCTTATAAATGTTTTTGTCACACTCCAACGCACGCAATTTTTAAAAAACCCATTTGTCTCCTTCACCCCCTATAAAAACACCTACGCATGCCTGCTGGAAGTCCAAGCCCCTCGCACAAAAAACCCTCCTTTACCCCTCCCTCCAACCTTTCCTAGGCCGACCCCTACCCCCCCCCCCTTCCACTACAACTGAACACTCTGAAGTTTTTCTGTTTCGCTCCTTTTCCTCCACATGTCCGAACCACCTCAACAACCCTTCTTCAGCCCTCTGGACAACAGTTTTGGTAACCCACACCTCCTCCTAACTTCCAAACTACGAATTCTCTGCATTATATTCACACCACACATTGCTCTCAGACATGACATTTCCACTGCCTCCAGCCTTCTCCTCGCTGCAACATTCATCACCCATGCTCACACCCATATAAAAGCGTTGGTAAAACTATACTCTCATACATTCCTTTCTTTGCCTCCAAGGACAAAGTTCTTTGTCTCCTACATCCTATATATATATATATATCTATATATCTATATAATAAAATATATATATATATATATATATATATATATATAAAATATATATTTCTTTCTTTCTTTCAACACACCGGCCGTATCCCACCGAGGCGGGTGGCCCAAAAGGAAAAAACGAAAGTTTCTCCCTTTTACATTTAGTAATAATACAGGAGAAGGGTTACTAGCCCCTTGCTCCCGGCATTTTAGTCGCCTCTTACAACACGCATGGCTTACGGAGGAAGAATTCTGTTCCACTTCCCCATGGAGATAAGAGGAAATAAACAAGAATAAGAACTAGAAAGAAAATAGAAGAAAACCCAGAGGGGTGTGATATAATGTGCTTGTACATGTATGTGTAGTGTGACCTAAGTGTAAGTAGAAGTAGCAAGACGTACCTGAAATCTTGCATGTTCATGAACAGAAAAAAGGAACCACAATCCTACCATCATGTAAAACAATTACAGGCTTTCGTTTTACACTCACTTGGCAGGACGGTAGTACCTCCCTGGGCGGTTGCTGTCTACCAACCTACTACCTATAATATATATATTCTTTCTTTCAACACACCGGCCGTATCCCACCGAGGCGGGGTGGCCCAAAAGGAAAAACGAAAGTTTCTCCTTTTACATTTAGTAATTTTATACAGGAGAAGAGGTTACTAGCCCCTTGCTCCCGGCTTTTTAGTCGCCTCTTACAACACGCATGGCTTACGGAGGAAGAATTCTGTTCCACTTCCCCATGGAGATAAGAGGAAATAAACAAGAATAAGAACTAGAAAGAAAATAGAAGAAAACCCAGAGGGGTGTGTATATATGTGCTTGTACATGTATGTGTAGTGTGACCTAAGTGTAAGTAGAAGTAGCAAGACGTACCTGAAATCTTGCATGTTCATGAGACAGAAAAAAGGACACCAGCAATCCTACCATCATGTAAAACAATTACAGGCTTTTCGTTTTACACTCACTTGGCAGGACGGTAGTACCTCCCTGGGCGGTTGCTGTCTACCAACCTACTACCTATAATATATATATATATATATATATATATATATATACATATACATATATATATATAAATGCAGCAGCGAAGAGACGGTTGGAGGCAGTGGAGATGTCCTGTCTAAGGGGAATGTGTGGTGTAAATATTATGCAGAAAATTCGGAGTGTGGAAATTAGGAGAAGGTGTGGAGTTAATAAAGCATTAGTCAGAGGGCAGAAGAGGGGTTGTTGAGGTGGTTTGGTCATTTAGAGAGAAGGATCAAAGTAGAATGACATGGAAAGCATATAAAATCTATAGGGGAAGGAAGGAGGGGTAGGGGTCATCCTCGAAAGGGTTGGAAAGAGGGGGTAAAGGAAGTTTTGTGGGCGAGGGGCTTGGACTTCCAGCAAGCGTGCATGAGCGTGTTAGATAGGAGTGAATGGAGACGAATGATACTTGGGACCTGACGATCTGTTGGAGTGTGAGCAGGTAATATTTAGTGAAGGATTCAGGGAAACTGGTTATTTTCATATAGTCGGACTTGAGTCCTGGAAATGGGAAGTACAATGCCTGCACTTTAAAGGAGGGGTTTGGGATATTGGCAGTTTGGAGGGATATGTTGTGTATCTTTATATGTGTATGCTTCTAAACTGTTGTATTCTGAGCACCTCTGCAAAAACAGTGATAATGTGTGAGTGTGGTGAAAGTGCTGAATGATGATGAAAGTATTTTCTTTTTGGGGATTTTCTTTCTTTTTTGGGTCACCCTGCCTCGGTGGGAGACGGCCGACTTGTTGAAAAAAAAAAAATATATAGATGTATATATTGGCAGTTTGGAGGGATATGTTGTGTATCTTCATACGTATATACTTCTAAACTGTTGTATTCTGAGCACCTCTGCAAAAACAGTGATTATGTGTGAGTGAGGTGAAAGTGTTGAATAATGAAAGTATTTTCTTTTTGGGGATTTTCTTTCTTTTTGGGTCACCCTGCCTCGGTGGGAGATGGCTGACTTGTTAAAAAAAAAATGCATATATATAATTACTCTCCCCATGGAGAGTAAATATATACAACCTCTCCTCACTTAATGACGGAGTTCTGTTCCTAAGACCACGTCGGTAAACAAATTCATTGCTAAGTGAGGAGGTTATTGTAATGGTAGTGGGTTTGTGTGAACCATCTTTGATATTGTTTTAATGGTACCTTTGCACCATTTATAACATTTTTGTTATATTTTTAAATGTTTATATAGTAGTGTACTGTATCTTGTAACAAACAGAATAGAGAAATCAATTCTAATATATATTATTTAGGTATGTACAATGGTCAGAGAGCCCATCGTAAGTCTGAGTCATCAATAAACTAGTATGTCAGTAAGTGAGAGAGGCTGTATATGTATAATTACTCTTCAAGGGCAAGTGGCACAGAATTCTTCCTCCGTAAGCCATTCATGTTGTAAGAGGCGACTAATGTGCTGGGAGCAAGGGCCTAGTAACCCTTTCTCCTGTATAGATTATTAAATCTAGTACTGTAATTTAAACTGTTTTTCTTTTTAGGTTACCCTGCTTCTGTGGGATACACCTGGTGTGTTGAAAAAAAAAAAATATACACGTAATTACTGATACTCTGTTCACAGAATGACAATCAGCAAGGAAGATGCCAAGCCACAAGGCATATTTTACTTTGCACATGACAAGACCATATTTAAGGTAAGTTAATGCCTTTATTATCTTTTTACAGTATATCCCATGTCATGGCAGTATCTTAATAAACAATATATGAAACCAGGAAGAATGATTGTAAAGACCAGTGTGTCCCTAGAAAAGCTGTAGGCTGGGAAGTAAGAGCTTAAATCCATTGAGTAACACTGCTGAAAGAGGGCTAAAGAAACAAATTTAGTGGAAATTTTAAATAGGAAAGTTAGTTTCCTATAAACAATCCCCTCCCCTTCCTGGTTTGTTTGTAATCATGTCATTACGATTTTGTGAGTCAAACAATAGTGATGATAGGATGGTAAACCTCTGTGTGTCATTTAACGCTGCCTCTCTTGAACTGCTTTTCTGACATTTTATGAAGTCGTGTTATTTTTAAATGAGCATAACCGGATTTTAACTGTTTTTATAAGCAGCTGGCTATTCATGATAATCTTGCTGATGTAAAATAAATGTAGAGGTTTGCTGAGTGGTTTAGCAGATTTAGACTTCTGATTCCTCCTTAGTATTAGAAAGTAATTAAACAAGAATTATTTATTGAGGCATGTATACTTTATTTGCTAATCCTGGTTCTTTGTGGTATTGAGTGCAGGAAATGTAAACTATAACCAATGAAGCTCTTATAAAATATGATCACTACAAGTTTACATAATGCTGTTATGCTTTCGTGTAATTTAATCAGACATACCTATGTTATTAGAAAAGTATTATACTTCAGAATTAGTTATTATTTTAATACAAAATGGTAACATATATTTCCTACAAATGAGCTTGCACTCAGTACAATATTTGTTTCAGGTTCTAGCTAGTGTGGGATTATATAGACCTTCTCAACATTTGAAGCATGACAATTTTGCAGAATTGAGGAACAGGAAGTGGCGAACAAGCTTTCTCTCTCCCTTCAGCGCTAATGTTGCATTTGTTCTTTACAGGTATGCTAAGTTAGTGAAAGTATATATTATGATTATAGTCTGTAAAGTCGTTATTATGAGGCATTGTACTATAGGTTTGCCATGAAAAAATTATTTAATATTTTGTTTTAATTTTAGGTACATACAGTAAACACTATTACAGTGTGTCTTCACAATGCACGAGTTTGTTGCAATACAATTGAAAGAGTGCAACCAAATATTTTCTTAAGAGAATGAAAATTTGTATTGAGTGCCATAAAGTATTAAGAATCAGCTAACATCCATATGGCCCATGGCCGGACTCCGAGAGTAGTGAAACTCTTGAAACTCTTCAAAGGTATATTTTCTTCAAAGGTAAGGTACATGACCGAATTAAGTTGTGTGAAATAAAAAATACTGTACATGCTGTTGTACTAGACTCCATTTCCACTGACAGCCCACACTGCATACAGTTGCATTCTGGAACCATCTAGTTCCTCTCTCACACCACGTTCATCAAGCTAATTTGGATAATTTTCACCATTCTGTGAGTGTCATAATTATCTATAGGCCATGTAATATTAAGTTGGTAAAAGGACATACCCTATGACCCCTTCATATTCATATTCCCCCACACCTTGGTGTGACTGTTCGGTTGAATGTTGGACCCAGTACAAGTAAGACCTCAGTTTGGCAAGCGAAGATATTGGTACATATTAAACCTCAGTCAGAGCAACAATGTCTCTCCTTCCGGTCCTCCATGGCAATGCCAGTGATGATGGAGGCACTAAGAAAATGAATAAGAGTGAATATTTGTTGAAGAAACTGGAAATGTTTAATATGCTTAGAAGTACAGTAGTGCATGTGTGATAGAAACTACCTTAGAGTTTTGTGTGAATGAGTCCACCACTAGTACACTTAGAAATTATATGTAATTAAGAAAAAATCTTGTACATAATGTAGTATAGATTGTCATCTGCTCAAAATCAAATATTGAAGAGCAAAATATGACAGACAAAATACTGATTGTGTAGCTTCAGAAAATACAAATAAAGGGGCTATACTAGTGCTCAGATAATAAGACAGAAAGCCTTATCAGACTACAAAACTTTGTAAGAAAGAAAATGGGTCTTCACAATAGTGTGTTTTTGGGCTGGTTGGGTTGATAATATGGTTGTTTAGTCAGTTTTTTTTTTTTTCTATTTTTTTTTTTTTAAGTATTGCAGGGGAACACATACCAGATGCATTACAAAATACTTGAACATTCCATTACAGCCACCAACTATTGACAGTTGTGCATCTAGATCATCACAAGAACAGCCATCTACCTCAGTCCAATAGGGCCACATCAGACTTCTCCACACACTTTCATTTCAAGAAACAAGCACTATCAGAATGCATATCTATCAGACTATATATCTATTTTTCCCATGTGGTCTTTACTTCGTGTAAAGAGATTTCAAATTATATGCTGTTTCTCAGGCACATAATCCATATGTTATGAAAGTATTTACTGTATCTTCAGTGTATTTTGGTTCTGGTCTATTAAAATAATACTTTTGCCTTGTTAACTTTTTTGAGGTTAGTAAAGTATGAGTTTTAGTGTTTTATACATTCATGCCATCTTTTGACATTGCCATGATCATCCACTTCATTTTGACTGATGTTATACTAAATTTGGGAGTAATAAAGAAAAAAAAATGTTGTGGCATTAAAGAAACTATTTTAGATAAAGTTCAGAAAGCACATGTTATAATTGTTAAGTAATACAGATACAATGTGTTGGAATCATATTTTAAGTATTATGTTGAAAATTGGCACAATAGTATGTTGTACAATTTGGAATTCAGAGGGTACTGTTGGGAATACTCAGAACTATAAGAACATGAATTTCACATGCTACCAATTGTAGCACTTGTCAGCAACATTATTTGAAAGTTTGGGATTCATATTCAGGTGATCTTGCACTTGATTCTTCCTAAGTAAGTTTTTATTCAGGTACAGGTACAGCTGCTCTTTGCTGATGACACTGTGCTCTTGGGAGATTCTGAAGAGAAGCTGCAAAGATTGGTGGATGAATTTGGTAGGGTGTGCAAAAGAAGAAAATTAAAGGTGAATACAGGAAAGAGTAAGGTTATGAGGATAACAAAAAGATTAGGTGATGAAAGATTGAATATCAGATTGGAGGGAGAGAGTATGGAGGAGGTGAACGTATTCAGATATTTGGGAGTGGACGTGTCAGCGGATGGGTCTATGAAAGATGAGGTGAATCATAGAATTGATGAGGGAAAAAGAGTGAGTGGTGTACTTAGGAGTCTGTGGAGACAAAGAACTTTGTCCTTGGAGGCAAAGAGGGGAATGTATGAGAGTATAGTTTTACCAACGCTCTTATATGGGTGTGAAGCATGGGTGATGAATGTTGCAGCGAGGAGAAGGCTGGAGGCAGTGGAGATGTCATGTCTGAGGGCAATGTGTGGTGTGAATATAATGCAGAGAATTCGTAGTTTGGAAGTTAGGAGGAGGTGCGGGATTACCAAAACTGTTGTCCAGAGGGCTGAGGAAGGGTTGTGAGGTGGTTCGGACATGTAGAGAGAATGGAGCGAAACAGAATGACTTCAAGAGTGTATCAGTCTGTAGTGGAAGGAAGGCAGGGTAGGGGTCGGCCTAGGAAGGGTTGGAGGGAGGGGGTAAAGGAGGTTTTGTGTGCGAGGGGCTTGGACTTCCAGCAGGCATGCGTGAGCGTGTTTGATAGGAGTGAATGGAGGCAAATGGTTTTTAATACTTGACGTGCTGTTGGAGTGTGAGCAAAGTAACATTTATGAAGGGATTCAGGGAAACCGGCAGGCCGGACTTGAGTCCTGGAGATGGGAAGTACAGTGCCTGCACTCTGAAGGAGGGGTGTTAATGTTGCAGTTTAAAAACTGTAGTGTAAAGCACCCTTCTGGCAAGACAGTGATGGAGTGAATGATGGTGAAAGTTTTTCTTTTTCGGGCCACCCTGCCTTGGTGGGAATCGGCCAGTGTGATAATATATAATAGGTACACATAAATACTCTTTAATTAATTTTCAGCATTACATTCATGTCGCTGTAAATTTAAGTTTGTGTGTTCCTCTTGGTATGGTGAAGAGGTTGTTGGTCTGAGGAATTGGACCCCTTGGCTTTCTTCCTCTGGCAAACCTAATATTCCCCCCAGTCCACCCCCTTCCCTACCCCATCCTTCCCATCCTTCCTCTCCCTTCCTTGTCCTTTCCCCATCCCTCCCCTCTCCTTCCTTTCCTGCTTTTGGCCTTTTGAGGTCTTTCCCTCTGAAATTCTAGCTCCTAGGTTGGGGAAAGGGTATTGATATCCATCCCATTCCATTAAGGTCCTTGGTGGTTAAGGTTGTGGTGGTGTTTGTCATGAATTCTGGATCGTCTGGGGATGTCCCAATCCCTCTCTGAAGTTCCGGGGGTGACTCGGGGTGTCTTTTGGGTGACAGGTGTATCTCTGAAGGCTGCCTGTTGGTTCTAGGAGGCGGAGGCCTCTCATTTGTCCGCTGTGGTGGCTCAGGAGATGTGAGGTTGCTATCCTGGATTGCTGGTTTACTGGCATGAAGGATAGGATATGGCATAGTTTCCACATAACATCTACACTGCTGGCTGTACTGTGGGCCCTCTTGGGTGTGGAGGCATATATACAGTCCCTTTCATTACTTCTGGGAGCCATCCATCCACATCCCCCCCTCCACACCTTTTTTTCTCCCCCTTTTTTTTCAAAGAAATAACAAAGGGGGAAACTTGTCATGAAGACCCATAATTCATGATTTGTCTCCTCCCGGGCCCTTTTCCACAGTACTCCCTACAGACCCTGGCACTCTTTCAGACCATTCTTCCAACCTGGTGCCTCCTCCGGGTAACAATCCGTTATGCTTCTCTGGTACTGCAGTTCTAACCAACCTTTTAGACACGTCTGACCTCCATGCGACTTTGACTGTGATCCCAGCTTCTCCGCATACAATGCATCGATTTTCAGATCATACATACGACTCTGGATGACCTGCCTCTGACCTTCCATCCAGACGGCCTCAACCTGTCACTGATAACCCTACCTCAGTTTCCTCTCAAGCTTCTAAGAAACATCCAACTAAGCAATTCCTTCCCTTACACTCTATGTTTCAAAGCTTTCTTGGACAAAATTCTGTACACTTCAACCAATTTATGCTACTGACTATCTTTCTGACCACAGCATCAGCAAGGCTTTCCTTTGCTATGTTGGGCAGAATATTTCCGTCCATGTTCCTAAGAGTGGCACACGCATTGTTACAATTCAAAATGCAGAGCAGGCATACAATTTCCCATCGTACATAAGGGATATAATCAATAGACCCCTGGCTGTCTTCAAGAAGGCACTGGACAGGCACCTGAAGTCAGTACCTGACCAGCCAGGCTTTGGTTCGTATGTCAGTTTGTGTGTGGTCAACAGTAACAGCCTGGTTGATCAGACCCTGATCAGTCACGAGGCCTTGTCTCAGACCAAACCACGGGGGCATTGACCCCTGAAATCCTCTCCAGGTATTGATGTTGTTGACAACACACCAGTTATGATTCACAAGCACATCTCCCTAAGTTCTTGCTGTGGATCTATTGTACTTCCACATAGTCATACAACGTGACTTTGTTACGTGTAATGACAACATTCTGGAGCAACTCGAGTTCCAGAATCACCTGATCTTTAAAGTTGACACTCACACACTCCCTGCCCGTGGGCAGAGGCATTATCCTTGCAATATAGCAAGGCTAACTTTTGACAGCTGTGAACTGCCACCATTTGTTTTCAGAGTGGGGCAATGCCTACGAGTGCAGGAGATGATCCTTACCCCACAACAACATTAAAAATGCTGGCGAAATTTTGCAGATCAGAGGCATAATGCCCCATCTGTGGTGTAGTTGACCATAGCAGTCCGTCATGCAGCCTACGGCCTCGAATACAATCCATCAAACCTCAGGCAGGCACCCTCAGAAATGTGCCTTGATCTCCTACTTGTGCTCATGCAGTGCATTTA